TCATAAACCTGGGTACATCATCCAAACTGATAATGGGCTAGAAAAACTAGCATGCCTGATAAGTTGGAGGAACAAAAGACTGATAAGGCAGAGAAAATCAAATAGAACACTGGAATATCCTTGAAAGCACCATGGAGTATCACTGGGGACAGGAAGATGTGGTAAGCATTTGTTATTATTACTATTAATCATCATCATCATCATCATCATCATTTGTCCATACAGGTCAGTATTGGGACTGACTCAACTGCATCTAATCTCAATAATAATAATAACAACAACAACAACGTTTATTATTATGGTCCATCGCGAGGCAGCTGCTGGCCTCACAAGGCCTTCCAAAGCCACACAAGACCTCAGGAAAGCCAGGAGCAGCCAGCAGCTGCCTTGCAAAGGGCCAGGCTGGGCATGCCTTGTCAGCAGTAGGAGGAAGATGGCAGAAGTCAGCTGGGAGTCGCAGAGCACAGGGCAGCAGGGTGGTGGAGTGCTGGGCAGAGCACAGGGTGGCAGGGGCTGCAGAGTACAGGGAAGAGCACAGTGCAGCGGGGACAGCAGGGGTGGCGAAGTACAAAGCAGCCAAAAGGGCAGAGATGGAGAGGAGATAGGTGGGTGGGGGGAACTGAGGCATATCCTGTGGTTGTAAATGCAGGCAGGATGCCAAGTACCCAAATTATAATCACGTGACTGTGGGGGCACTGCAACAGCCGTAACTTCAAGGACTGGGCGTAAGTGCCATTCGTTCAGTGCTGTTGTAACTTCAAATGGTCACTGAATGAACGGTCATTAAACAAAGACAACCTGCATGTACTTGTTAAGTAACACTTTCTTAATACTTCTTGACCTTTGAAAGTAATACTTTCAAGTATCACTTTCAAAATCTTTCAGTGTATTGGACAACCTTGTTCTAGCATCTCAAAAAGAGAAAAGTTTCTCTCCTGTTCACTTTTTCCACATCACACATAATTTTGTTCAAGATATAAAAGCTGGAAGATGTAGTAAAGATGGAGATTAAAATAGAAATTCAGAAAACAGTATTATGATGAGCTCTGCACTACTAATTGTGATATGCTGTCCGTTTATAATTCAAAGGAAATAATTATAGACCCTGTCTGATCAGACTGCCTTCATGAAACTATCTCATTTGCCTCCTCTTAAAATTATGCTCTTTGTTTTGCCTAGAAGGTATCTATTATCTGCCTTGATTTTTAGTGATTAGACCTTCTGGCTCTATAGAAAGCATTGTAGAGCAAGTCATGGTAAAGGGGTGATGGAAGAGAGCGAAAAACAGTTCAGAAAAGACTCTTATCTCCCTTTAAACATCCTAACTTTCTTCTACAAAGCCTTACATTATCCTAAATTTACTTGTTTTATATTTCCTGATGTATTATAGTATATTATTGGTATAACTCATCCAGAGAACATTTCTGTTGAGAGCATATATGTGCTAACTATGTAATAACTGCCTGTGATCAGCCAATCCACTCTCTACTATCTTCATTTTTATTCCATTGCCCAAACCCACCTTTCATCTTTGCCCTTTAACTAGGTTTTAAGGGCACTACCTATCATACTGCAGTCACAGAAATGTTAAGGAAACTATATAATTTGCATTACAACTGGAAATATAATTCTTTCCTTTATCTCTCAAAAGCCTCATTGTAAGAACCTGCCAGACTCAATTCCCAATCAAAGTAAATCTCATTGGCACCATAAATGGATTCAAAGAAGTTCTTTATTGAGAAGCAATCTACAGTTCTAAATTATTGCCAAGACTAAAAGCCGATGCATGCCCTTTTTTCTCCCCAATCTCTTGCACTCCCCTCTTTCCAGTCCATCATCCGCTTCATGCATGATCTCAGTTCTTCCCGGGTCTCAAGCTGGTATGACCTTGGGCATTCTTGGGAACCAGATAACGGTTCTGAATCTAAACGGCCCTTCCTTCCCCCTTTTCTCGTAATGGTAGAAATGAAGCAAGCAAATTAACTATCTAATAGATTGCGAGGCTTCTGACACTCATGCATTTTGCAACTCTGTTATTTTAATATGACTGATATTTTCCTTAATTCTCTACCAAAACAAGAGCAGATGGAGAAACAAGAACAATTAAATTAATAGGATTACTACCCTTTTGTTTTCATACAGTTTATTGAACAGAAGCAATACAAACAAATCATGGATCACTGAATGGCATGGGTAGATGAAACATTTTCACTAATGTCCTTGCATAGTCTTCCTACTTACTCCCTCCCCCACAAAAACATTATTTATTAATATTTGCCAATGGCTTTTCCAGAAAACACATTGCCCAATAACAAATGTGTCAATAATGTTTCTGTATAACTAAGTTCTTCTTTTCCCTGAGGAAACCAGGCACCTTCATTAAAGGAACATCATTCAGAATTTACCCAGCACTTGAACTGCACTATTTTGTTACTAAGAAAATAACCTATTTTGTCAGCTAGCATACTGATAATAAATGTATTTATTATGGGGAATATTGCTGGACTTTCCTATAATTATTTCTTGGCTCTTTTACCAATTATATTTAGTGCTCTTATCTTTAGTGTTAAGGATTTAAAGGCAGCATTGAAATTTAAAGGCAGCAAAAAAATTTACTCTTTTACCAATTATATTTAGTGCTCTTATCTTTAGTGTTAAGGATTTAAAGGCAGCATTGAAATTTAAAGGCAGCAAAAAAATTTACTCTTTTACCAATTATATTTAGTGCTCTTATCTTTAGTGTTAAGGATTTAAAGGCAGCATTGAAATTTAAAGGCAGCAAAAAAATTTACTCTTTTACCAATTATATTTAGTGCTCTTATCTTTAGTGTTAAGGATTTAAAGGCAGCATTGAAATTTAAAGGCAGCAAAAAAATTTACTCTTTTACCAATTATATTTAGTGCTCTTATCTTTAGTGTTAAGGATTTAAAGGCAGCATTGAAATTTAAAGGCAGCAAAAAAATTTACTCTTTTACCAATTATATTTAGTGCTCTTATCTTTAGTGTTAAGGATTTAAAGGCAGCATTGAAATTTAAAGGCAGCAAAAAAATTTACTCTTTTACCAATTATATTTAGTGCTCTTATCTTTAGTGTTAAGGATTTAAAGGCAGCATTGAAATTTAAAGGCAGCACTGTAACTATCTAGGCAAGCAAGGTTATCTCTTCATAGAATCTATTCATTATTGTACTGATGTTAAAATGCTTTGGTACTTAAGAATAATCATCCTCTACAGCATTAAAATCATTCTATCAATATGCAAGTCAGTATAATGATTAACGTTAGACTAATATTGGAGAGGCACAGGTTTAAAATGCCATACAGCAGGGTTCCTCAACTTGGCAACTTTAAGACGGGGTGGACTTCAACTCCCAGAATTCCCCAGCCAGCTTTGCTGGCTAGGGAATTCTGGGAGTTGAAGTCCACCCGTCTTAAAGTGGCTAAGGTTGAGGAACCCTGCCATACAGCCATGAAAATCATTCATCCAGCCACTTTCTCTCCACTTAATCTACCTAACTATTGTTGGATGTTTATATTGTGAGCTACCACTCTTAAGCTTCTTTGAAGAAAGGTGTAATGAACATACAATAAATTAAAAACAAGGGGAATAATGCAAATGAAGGAAGTTTGCCTTTCTGTGCAATTGTTGCTATTTTGTTTTTCAAAGTCAGTGTCCTGAAGTAAGCCACAATAACTAAAGCTTTACCCTCAGCATCTATACTTCCTCTTGCACCAGAATCCCATGCTATATTGCTATATGGAAGAAAACAGGATAGGGGAAAAACAGCAGAATGACTCTGTGGCAAAGCTATTTATTTCCTACAATACATAGACTGAACATCAAGCTACTGAGCATTTGAGGAAGTTAATTTGTTTGCTTTCTCTGTCTCTGGTTTTGTTTTCCCAGTCAACTTCATAAGCAAAAGGTAACTGTTGAACCATCTGGGGATTTTGAAAGCCTCTCAAATTAAATGATCACACTGTAATTTGCATTTTTACCCTTCAATCCATATTTATCAACCCAAGAGATTCCATACTAGTTACAACTCATTAAATTAAGATGAAAGCAAATGTGGCAGAAATTCTACAGATTAATGAATGGGGCTGGCAAATCTACCTGAAATCAAACAGATTTCAAACCAGATTCCCTGAGTCTCAACATTATGTTCAATAATAGGTTACTATTTTTCCCTCAATACAATACAGTATGATCATTCATCATTCTACTTATTTTTTATTTGCCTTCCCATAAAACCTTTCCCCATGGGTTTGGAGTGGCATACATACGTAGTGTTCTTTCAGTGTTATCCTCCCTATAAAGTGGATTAGGCTGATAACTTCTTTTTAAAAATTATATGTAATATTTCTAGCGCCTCATAAAGGAAACATTCACTTGAAACCCTTGAAGTGTCTAGGACACTAGTGAGAAGACTAACGCAACAACCCAGGGAGATATAATCTTCAGAAAACAAAAATCAACAATACCTCAGAACCTTCTCTGGGACTGAAAGAAGTCAGAAGATACTCAACCTTCATCTGTGTGTGCAAATCTCACACAGAGGTACGCAAAGGAACATGTTAATACACACTCATTCAAGTACAATAATACAGTGAGAAAATATTATTATTCCAGACGGAGGGTGAAAACTAAATGAGTAAATGTAACATCCACAGCTGGATTTCTTCTAATCCTCAGAGAGAGAAAAGGGAAGAAGAGAGGAGGAGGAGGAGACAGAAACTAGTCGGAGAGGAGACCGAATATCGCATCAAAGAAGAATAAACAACAACTGGAAAGGAGGGGAAAGAAGTAGCTAAAGAAACACCTTCGGGGAGGCAGGGGGAAGGGGGCTTCGTCAACCTCTCCGCTGCTCTCACGACTTTAGTTGCCGCAGAGCCGTTTCCAGCTGGGATGGGCTCCCCCTCCGCCGCGCCCCCGGCCCGACCTTCCACCCCCGCGCCCCTCGAGCAGCACCCCAAAGGCGGCCCCGGGCCACGCTCACCTGGACAGGTGCTTCAAAATCTGCTTCTTGATGAGACCAGCCATGCTGGGCCACAGGCAGGACGCGAGTTCTCTATCGCCCCAAGTGCCCCGTCATACCCTTTCTAGC